TCATCTCAAACGCCTGAAAAGCTGTCTTTGCTTCAGTGATGGTAATGCCCGTCAGACAAGAGAATTTTGGGAAGAGATGGGGGCATTCTTGGTTTGTCCCATATTAGATTTTTTATAAAAGAAATAATAGTTTATTCCATATTAATATCAGTGAATTTATTACAGGACTGTCTGTGTTTATTACAGGGCTGTCTGTGTTCATCCATGGTTGACCTAACCATGATTTATTTGATTGCTGAAATGCCAGGGGTAAATTCTACGTGTCATGCGAACCAAGGTTTTCTTTCGGTTCCTCCCACCCCGGAGTTCTCAATTGACATGTGGCTGAAGGTGTTGGGAGCAAGCTTCGATTCTGCCTTGGGTGTCTTGGGTGCCTTGGGTGTCACGTCAGGCCAAATGCAATGGGTTGTTGAATTTGTTACGTAAGAAACTTTCAGAAGGAAGAGTGGGCAGTACACAATGGATTCCATAAACACACACACACACACACACCTTTCATCTTCAAGCCATTTTCCAACAAAATCTCTTTTGACAAGGAGGCTTTCTGCAGGCAAGCACAGCTGACCAAAAGTCACTATAACGCCCAAGCTGAATAAAATGCAGGGGGATTTTTGAATCCAGTCTCGACGTTTGCTGCTGCCTTTAAAAAGAGAGCTCAGCCACAAACAGGAAAAGAGGCTCTGCCTCAGACGAGTATCCAGCAAATGTACAAGGACTGCAGAGTCAACACCAAGCCTGCAGCTGCTAGAAGCATCTTAAGAGACAGAGGAAAATAACCTCTTCCTCAGTTCTGATTAAGATAGCAGCCCCATATAGTAGCTCCCAGTGGGCCCCTCCAAAACAAAGGGAAACGGCTCTTTTCATACAGAATTGTGCAGAAACTTTAATTTTCAGGCAGCCATTTCCTTCAGAGTCTCTTAGTCACGCTCTTCGATGAGGCAGTTCTTGCCGACCTGGGTTTTCTGCAAACTTGGGAGAACAGGGATTTAAAGTGGCTGAAGGTTGATTCCCGTTCTGCTTCCGTGATAAGTGAAAATCGCAAGCAATCCTTCGTAGGAGGGGAAACAACAGGAGCAAGATGGCACCTCACATCAGACTGAGGGTGCATTTCTCTTCCTTATTTGGGGGGGAAAGGATACCCAGTTCAGTGGGCTAGCTGAACACATCAGAGACCAGTCCCTCCTTGCACAAAGGCGGAGGTAGCGGTCCTGATGCTGGGTTGTTGCCCTCCTACGGCCTCCTCCACGTCTCCTGATGTACTGGCCTGTCCCCTGGTAGCGCCTCCATGCTCTGGACACTACGCTGACAGACACAGAAAACCTTGCTACAGCTCGCATTGATGTGCCAGCCTGGATGAGCTGCACTCCTTGAGCCACTTGTGTGGGTTGTAGACTCCGTCTCATGCTACCACTAGAGTGAAAGCACCGCCAGCATTCAAAAGTGACCAAACCATCAGCCAGAAAGCGTAGCAACTGAGAAGTGGTCTGTGGTCACCACCTGCAGAACCACTCCTTTATTGGGGAGGTCTTGCTACCTGCCTCTGCTTTCCACCTGTTGTCTATTCCATTTGCACAACAGCATGTGGAATTGATTGTCAATCGGTGTTGCTACCGAAGCGGACAATTTGATTTCACAGAAGTGTGATTGACTTGGAGTTCCATTGTGTCGTTTAAGTGTTCCCTTTATTTTTTTGAGCAGTGTTCCCCTAGGTGCACCTCCATCCCTCAATGGCTGACTCTCCTAAAGTATCCTTCCAGCTGCTAAGATGTTCCTACCCCCACTCCCTTCCCACCACCCTTATCACTGTACTCCTTTTGTGACGGTGGGGGGGGGCTCTTGCCAAGGCAGTGCAGCTGCTTAGATCGGCGCCTGGCCGATGAAAGGACCTTCATGAAAAGCCGGGCAGCTGAGACGATACATTGTCCAAACTGCCAGCTTCCCACCCCCCAAGACCTGGGCTCAGCTGCGGTGCCTTTTTGAGGTACCCACCTCTACCTGCAGGGCACCCCGTTCCCCAGACAATCTCGGTTGCAAGCTGGAGGGCATCGTATCCCCTGGCACCCCCTGCCCAGATGTACTGCGTAGGCCTTTCTGGAGAGAACGGCCTTCTCTTCCTCGCTGCCTCCGCTGTCTAGAAGCCCCCTTTCCCTTTCACGAGATAAGAAAACCACAGCTGTTGCTCCTCTTCCTCTTGCCAAGGGAGCTGGGGACACGCAGTTCGCCTCTGGGGCTGAGCCCCAAAGACTGCCAAGTTTTCTCTTGCCTTGTGACACTGAAGCCTTGTCATCTTTCTCTTCATCCTGGCAACTCCACCTTGGTTCCCTCGGGGAGATGCCCTGCAGATGTGGGACAGGGCAGCTTCCCAGGAGAAGCGTAGAACAACACAGCTTTGTGATGTCTTCCCGCGGCTTCTCCCAGCCTCCCCATTTCAGGTCCAGCCGTGCAGCACCTCGCTTCCCAAGGAGTTCAGTTCGAACCTGCTAAGCGTGACGCTGAATGACAGCAGCAGAAGCCGTCTTCAGTCTGTTGCCTTCAAAACCATCCGGCCCACTTGCGCAATATGTTTTCTTAGCCAGGCTGGGGAAAACGGGAATTCGGATGCAACCAATCTAGGATGGAGGGCCTTCCCAATCAAACCATCTCTAGATTTTATTTCTTATTGCTTAACCAGCAGCAAGACCATTCCGGAGAAAGCCGGAGGTTGGAATCCAGGCTTCGGGGTTGCACGCAGGCTGGGAAAAGGTGCCATGCAATATTTTGGGGCACAGGGTGTGTGTTTTATGTCCAAAATAGTGTGATTATTTAGAGATGCTAAGGAGTAAAAAATGGATGGGTTTTTTTCCCCACCATCTCCTTACCTTTGTCCCTTTCCCTCAAAATAAGTGATGACCGTCATTGGAAGGAGCAAGTTCTTAGAAATTAATGCTACAGAAATACCTTTGGGGAATTAGAGCTGCACCTTTTTTTTTTAAGCCTCTCTATTTGTCTACCTTAACATACCCTTCCTCCCTCCCTCCCCTAACTGTCTCACTTAGTAACAGAAATTTTGGGCTCAATTGCGACCATACGTATCTCTACTGTCACTCTGGTGCAGTCCTCTTAAATCACTGATGATACTGGAGTCGAATTCCTGTACTAAGGGCAATTCATGAGCCCTTGCATAATTTTACCATTGGTGAGTGGGAGTCACAAACCCCAATTACTGACCAATCCTAGCCGAGAAGCCCTGTTGGGCTTCTGTTGCTGGCACCTAGCTACTGGGATGAAGGTGGACAGGTGACAAAGAGGCTGTCGTGAAAGGGAGGGGTCTGTAGGGGGTGAGAAGAGCTGGGGCTCCTGTCCCAGGTAGCAAAGGTGCGAATAGTTGCACAGAGAACACCAGGGATTAAGGGTTCAAATAAGCGGGATTTTCTGACTGTGGAACCAAGAGTGAACGCAGGAGGGAAGATTCCAGGAGGTTTAGGAAGAGGCGTTTGCTTTCCCTGCTCCGAGAGGGCGAGGGGAAGCGGGGGGGGGGGCAAATCAGCAGAAGTAGCAGGCAAGGAAATGTGATATAGATTTATAGACTTTGGGAGAGAAAGTAGGAATTGTTTGGCTCATAATGAGAGCATTCAGGATCACAGAAGTGAATTGTGCAAGTGACCAAACTCAGATCCTTTACAAAGGGTGCATGGATGGCTTGCGGAATTTCAAATTAGCATGGGAACAGCAACGGTTATGGGCTTCCATGAGTTGTTTTTTTGTTGTTGTTTTTTTAGAAAGAATGGGGGCAAATTTATGAGAACATCCAAAATTACCCAAAATAGTTTATTACATTGGTAGTCTTGCCAGATTTACAAAGACTACGTAGATTAATCTAGAACATCACCTTATTAAGGAAGAACACCAACTTCATGCTGAATATCCATAATCTTGGGATAGTTCCTAAGGTTGTGTTGGCAAAATAAGTTGCAGGAAGACTGCCTTTTCAGATATTACACTAAACATTCTAGGATAATCTCTGGCTGTCAAAATCCAATGATTGTTTTGCATGTTGTGCGACAGTTATCGCTTAATCCAAATATTACTACTCGGTTTCAAACATGTTATCTTGTCAAGCTCGGTTTAGCAGCTGTCCTAAGCAAGATCTGATTTTATTTTTATTTTTTTTAACAAAAATACATCTCGATCAGGGTGTGGCAGCAGCCAAAAAAAGCTAACACAATCCTTGGTTGTTATAAACAGAGGCACAGAATCAAAATCACGCGGCGTATTAGTACCGCTTTATAAAACCTTAGTAAGGCCACCTCACCTGGAGTACTGCATCCAGGTTTGGTCATCACCTTACAAAAAAGATATGGAGACTTTGAAAAAAAGTGCAAAGACGACCCACCACCCACCCCAAAAAAGACTAAAACATGAACCGTTGCAGGAATTGGGTTTGGCTAGTCTAGTGAAAAGGACTAGGGGGTGACATGACAGCAGTCTTCCAAAATTTGAGGGGCTGCCCCAGAGAGGAGGAGGAGGAAGCCAAGCTATTTTCCAAGGCACCTGAAGGCCAGACAAGAAACAATGGATGGAAACTGAACAAGGAGAAATTCAACCTGGAAATAAGGAGGAATTTTCTGACAGTGAGGATAATTAACCAGGGGAACAGCTTGCCACCAGAAATCGTGGGTGCTTCATCACTGCAGGTTTCTATGAAGAAACTGGACAGTTTAGTTTACTTTATTGTCATTGCACCTCGTACAAGGAAATTAAATACCATCTTTAGCTTACGGTTTTTGACTATGAAAATAAACACAGACTGACATCCCTCACACTCCACACATTGAATTGAAATTGGAAATCGAAAAGCCACTTGTCTGAAACGATACAGGGCCTCCTTGCTTGAGCTGAGGGGCTGGACTAGAAGACCTCCAAGGTCCCTTCCAATTATTCTGTATTCTGAATCCAGCTTGGCGTCGCCTCCCTCAACCCCTGTATAGGGGGGGGGGAACCCTTGGCTTCTGGCATCGGGCTGCTTCTCCCCACCTGGCCGAAGTTTCCCCCCTTCCTGCTTTTTCAAAACCGCTAGAAAAGAACCGACTCTCGTTTTTTTGTTTGTGTTTTTCCTGAAGAAAGAGACACTTTTATTGGGTACAAAGGGGAGCGTTGCCCACCGCAAAGGGCCTGCCCCAAAACGGCGAGTTCCCGGGTCGCGAGAGAAAACCGAAGCCAGGGAAGAAGGGAAAGGCGAGAGGGGTTCCAGGCGGGCGCCGGCTTGGCGATCCCGGCCGAGTCCCGTAGCCGGGAGACGCGCCACCCTCTTCTACACCTTGGTGCCCGAGGAGGGCAGCTCCGACTTCTGGGTCTGGCCGCTGAGCGTGGACGAGACGGAGCTGGCGGGCCCGCGGCGCGGCGAGCGCAGTCCGAGCAGGAGGAGGCACTGGGCGCGGAAGCGGCCGTCGAAGAAGGCGTAGAGGAAGGGATTCAGGCAGCTGTTGACGTAAGCCAGGCAGGTGGCGTAGGGGTGCAGGCGCAGGATCAGGTCCAGCCAGGCGCAGGGCAAGCTCAGCAAGCCCACCCAAGCCAGCACGTAGAGGCTCTTCAGCAGGTGGAAGGGCAGCCAGCACAGGGCGAAGACGGCCACCAGCGTGACGATGATGCGCAACAGCCGCCGGCGCTGCCGGCTTTCCTCCTTGCGGGCGCGCCGTTGGAAGTGGCGGCTGACGGCGGCGCCGATGCAGCAGTAGCAAAGCGTCAGCAGCAGCAGCGGCACCACGAAGCCCAGCGCCGTGGTGGCCAGGCTCAGCGCCGCCAGCCAGCGGGCTGCCTCCTCGGCGCTGCCGGCCAAGCCGCTGAAATCCATGTCGCACTCCACGGCCGAGCCGTTGCCGCCGCGAGGGCTCAGCCGCGTCTGGCGCAGCAGCAGGGCCGGCAGCGCCAGCAAGCCGGCCAGGAGCCAGACGGCGGCCAGCGAGAGCAGCGTCCAGGTGCGCGGCCGCGGGGACCCGCAGGAGGAGGAAGAGGAGGAGGAGGAGGAGGGAGGCCGGCCGGCCGAGCGCGGCAGGGCGTGCACGATGGCCAGGTAGCGCTCGAAGCCCAGGCAGCCCAGGCAGAAAGCCGAGGCGAACATGTTGAGCAGCACCAGGTAGCTGCTCAGCTTGCACAGCGCCGAGCCGAAGGGCCAGTGGAAGCGCAGCGCCGTGTAAGCCGCCCACAGCGGCAGGGTCACCACGAAAGCCAGGTCGGCGAGCGCCAGGTTGCCGATGTAAGCGTCGGCCGAGCGGCGTTTGCCCGGCGGGCCTCGCCAGACGGTGAAAATGACCAGCCCGTTGCCCGACAGGCCCAGCACGAAGACCAGCATATAGAGCACGGGCAACAACGAGAAGGAGAGCTCCCAGTCCGTCTCGGCTTCTTCCCAGGGGCAGCCCCCCGGCCCCCAGACCTCGCTCCAGTTGCCCGGGGGCTCCTCGTCGTAGTCGTAAAAGGGGCCCTCCATCGCCGCCGCTCTGCTGCCCCTCCGACCGGCCGCTCAGCCAGGCTGGCTGGAATGGGGGGCGCCGGTGCGCTTAAAGAGGGCTTCGAGCCTGACCCCGCCCTTCGCTGAAAGGGGGGTGATGGATGGAGGAAAGCCCTTGGCAGGGAATGTGGGGGGGTGGGGACGGGAACCCACAGAGACAATACCTCCATTAGCCTTCCCTCCTTCCGAGGTGGGTAAAAATGAGGACCCAGATTGTTGGGGGCAAGAGGCTGACTCTGCAAAGGGCTTGGAGAGGGCTGGGAAGCACTATAAAGCGGTATATAAGTAAGTTGCATCTATCTATGTCTCATCCTCCTCCCCCCCTCTATCAGCTCAATACCTGTGCTTCGCTACAAAACTACGTGGTCGGGCTTAGTTTTGGGGGAGGAAAATAAGAGGGAAAAATTCTGCCTCTTTTCAGGTGGGGAGCGGGAGTAGAACTCCTTAGCATCAGAGAGTGTTAATAACCATAATATACGAAATACTAAATGCTCTGAAGGTCATTTCGCAAAATCCTATCTTAGTGAGCCCCTAGAAGCCAAGAGGAACATAGGTGTCGAATTTCAAGTTTGTAGGCTTTACGGTTCTGGAGAATTTGTGATGATGCGTGACATCCTACTTATTTCTCTCTCTCTTTCCCTTCCTCTATCAATCTATTGACCTATCATCAGAATGCAGTATTACAGGCTGATTCTGCCCATAAGTCAGGAGTTCGATCCTAACCGGCTCAAGTCAGCCTCCCATCCTTCTGAGGTGGGTAAAACGAGGACCCAGATTGTTGTGGGGCAAGACGCTGGCTCTGTAAACCGCTTAGAGAGAGAGCTGTAAAAGCACCGTGAAGCAGTATAGAAGTCTAAGTGCTATTACTGTTAGGCCAACTAACGTTTTTCCAAGTTGCTATTGAGTTCTGGTGCTCTTTCTTGGGGTGGGGGCAATCGAAACCCCCCCAAATAGAGCCCTTCTCTGTGCCACCATCTCCGGGCATGCAAACGAGCTGTGCAGGTGCCAGAGAAAGTTCACAGTCAAAAGAAGGACTTGTTGGAAAGAGGAGCCAGGAAGGCTTGCTCAAACCTTCGATTCAAATTCTGGGCTTCTGGAATGACTGTGAGGTTGTTGTTGTGGTGGTTGTTCTTTTGGTGGTGGGCTTTCATTGGGTGTTCTGGCTGGAGGCACCCACAGAAAAGATATTTTTTGGCTGCGAAAACCCAGACGGCTCGGCTGAAGGGGACTCTTGGATCCCTTTAGGTGGCCGTTCAGATCTTTGCAACCCAGGCTGGTCTCCCCTCTGGGCCCTGGGTTGCAACAGTTGTCACTGCTAAGACCCTCCCCTCCCTCCTGCACACCCCTCCGGAGACACAAAGAGGACTCAGAACCCCAAGAAAGGCACAAGGGAGGCTCCTGTTGGCTCCTTTGCTAGCCTCTGTGTGGGAATTTTCCACACCGGATGCCCCATTCATTCACCAGGGCACAAGCAATAGGGCTGGGACCCCCTCCCCTCCCCTCCCTGTGAGAACCCCTCAACAAGAGGCTGTAAATCCTCTCCCCCCCTCCCTCCCTCCCCACTTCCCGCAGAAATGGAACGATGCCACAGACCCTCTCGCTCAGCATTGCAGAGCTGTACACCGAGACGGTCCTCTAATTATGTCCCGGTCTGCAAATCGGGGAGTAGTAGAGGAAAGAAGAGGGACCCTTAGTGTGTCCTCCGGCTGGGTGAGGAAGAGGAAGGAGGGTGGAGGAGACACCTGCTCAAATTAAGCCTGCCAAACAAGCTGTCGATGCCATTTTCCCGACACCGCCGTTTCCTCACCCTGGGCAACGGTGAAGATAGGCAGACTTCAACTCCCAGAATTCCTGGCTGGGGAATTCTGGGAGCTGAAGCCAACACACCTTCAAGCTGCCAAGGGTGAGAAGCTATCAAGAAGTTTTTCACCAGCTATAAAGAACGACAAAGGTAAAAGAAGCATCACCATACACACCTGGGGGTGCTGTTTTGATCCCAGCTCCTCTACAATTCAAGGAAGAGGCTTTCGGAGAGTTGATCCACCCACCCACCCACCCACCTGCAACTCAACTCCCATGGTTCCCTGCCGGTCTGGCCGAAATTCCCCCTGCTTGTTTGAACAAATGAAGCAAGGAAAAGAACCTCCTCCGTTTAAAGCAGCAGCGCCTCTCCCCTAACAGACCCACTCTTTTTTGAGGGGGGAGTGGGGGACAAGGGTCAAGTCACCTTTTTCGGTGCCATCCTAACTTCCAACCGTCACTAAATGAACGGTGTTAAGTTGAATACCACCTATAAGGAGAGAAATTGGCTAGAGATTTTCAAGAGTCCTAAGAAAAGATGTGAAAAACAGACGCTTCTTCTTGTCCCAGACAAAAATGGAGACACTGCAAAGCCAATTTTGAAGGAGAGACTGGACAGTCACATGTCTGAGATTGTATAGGGTCTCCCGATTGAGCAGGGGGGTGGACTAGAAGACCTTCAAGGTCCCTTCCACCTTCTATTCTATTCTTTCTCATTCTGTTCCATTCTTTCTCATTCCATTCCATTCCATTCCATTCCATTCCATTCTATTCTATTCTATTCTATTCTATTCTATTCTATTCTATTCTATTCTATTCTAATGTTTAAATTCTATTCTTTTCTATTCTCTACTCCACTCCACTCCATTCTATTCTATTCATTTCTACTTTTTATTTCTATTCTCTACTAATTTTTTTTTTGCACTGTGTTGAAATAAAACCCACATTAAAACACATCAGGGCTGCGAACCAGAGCAGCACACCGAAGCTGCTTCTCCGCAGCGCACAACGGCGGCGTCCACGTTTTCCATGCCTTCCGTATCTCGGAGAGCTTCCACTTGGCGGTTTGGTCTCTCCCGTTCGCCGAAGGCAAGGAGGGCCCTTCCCGCCCTCGGACCCTCCGAGCTGTTTTTCTTTCCCTTCCCCGGTGTTTTTCCAACAAGGCCTGCCAAATTGCATTCCCCGAAGGTGATAAGGGGCCCCCGATGACTGGAAGGGCAACAGAGACATCTTGGCTCTGAGATCCGTCCCAGGGACGGGGTGGGGGGATGGGGTAAGAAGCGCTGGGAGAAAAGGACTGGGGGCCCCTTCCTTCCGTTTGACAACCCAAACCTGTCTGTTTTAAAGCCCAGCGGTGGATGGGGGCACCTGGGATGAAACACCCCCACACACACACACACACACCCGCACAAATCTAGGTTAAGAAGCAGGGACGTTTGAAGAAGGTGAGGCCAGTAACAAGGTGGGACTGGCGCTCCAGCTCTTAAGGCTGTAGAGGTTCTCAGTCACTGACGTTGCTTGTCAGAAGGGCGTAAAAGGAGAATCACGCGAGTTTGGGACACTGCGACCGTCATAAATATGAGCCCGTTGCCACATATCTGAATTTTGATCACCTGATCATGGAGACCCCCTTTTCCCCTACTCTCTCCTCCTCCTCTCCTCTCTTTTCCTCTCCTCTTCCTCCTCCTTCTCCTCCTTTCCTTTTCTTTCTCCTTCTCCTCCTCCTCTCTTTTCCTCTCCTCCTCCTCCTTTCCTTCTTTTTCTCCTTCTCTCTTTTTCCTTCTCCTCTTCCTCCTCTCCCCTTTGCTCCTCCTCTCCTCCTCCTCCTTTCCTTCTCCTTCTCTTTCTCTTTCTGTCTCTTTCACTTTTTCTTTCTCCTCCTCCTCCTCTCCTCCTTCTCCTTCTCCTTCTCTCCTTCTTGTCTCTGTCTCCTCCTCCTCCTCTCCTTCTCCTCCCCCCCTTCTTCTCTCTGTCTTCTCCTCTTCCTCCTCCTCTTCCTCCTCCTCCTCCTCTCCTATCCACAGAAGATAAACGAATGCTTTAATTTTCTTTTGTCAGCCGGGCCATTTGGCACTGTGATTCTCAGATTCTCTCCTGATATGGGAGACCTGCACAATACAAGGCGATAAGAGAGCGTCACCTCTGGCCCGAAAAAAACAGTTCCTCATCCTTGTTGTGAGAAAAAGGAAAACTGACCCCCCCCTTCCCTCCCCCCACACACTTCAGGATGCAAGGCCCATTTCTTGGGAATTCTCATGGGAAGTTGGGGCTCCTTTGGCTGGAGCGTGTGAACCTCTGCGAGGAGAATTCCAATTCTTTTTGTCAAGTGGGAGTCCAAAGAGGGAAGCAGGTTTTGCCGGGACTCTTAATTGCTGCGAGATATAAACACAAAATCCACATTTAAAAAAATAAAAATTAGATTTGTATCCCTTGCGCCCGTCCTTCGTTTCCAAAACTCCCCTCTGCTTGTAAAAATCACTTTGCCAAAGAAGTCTCAGACACACTTCAGTTCACTTTTGTGTAAAAACACAGGTTAATAACGCAGAATTTCCCATGCTCAAAAACTTGTTCGGGCTTGTAAGTGCAGCTCTCCTTTCACTGTGGCATAAAAGTAAAAAGTTGAGGTTCTTGTTATCTTCTATTAGAATAGAACAGAATTAGAATCTAGAATAGGAGTAGGAGTAGGAATAGGAGTAGAGTAGAGTAGAATAGAATAGAATAGAATAGAATAGAATAGAATAGAATAGAATAG